AGAACAATACTGTGTTAAAGGAAAGTATTCAAATATAGAAAAGTATGCTTAAGGACTCAGTCTAATTTATCCTCAATTTATTACACATTCCTTAGACAGTTGTGGGTATCTTTAGATTTTTTATTACTTCGGTATGCGGGGCCCTTTATGAATGCGAAGTCCCTAGGTTGCCTACTCCGCCTTAAGGTTAATCCGCACTGTCAGAGTATGACGTAGGTACATGGCATTGTAATCGAAAAAAGTTAATATCGCTCCAGTAATTCCGGAGCTTAGTTAGTGCAAACAAACAAACAAAAAAATCCTCTTTATAATATTAATATCATAGTATCTTCAGATTTTTGAAGTTATGTAAGTATATAAGTCAAAAAATCAAAATCGAAATTTATTTATTCAGTTTAGGCTTTCACAGAGCACTTTTAAAAGTCGAAAACTACGCCATTGGTTCGCAAAACTACAGCGGGAGACCTTGTACTGAGAAGAACAGGCAAGAAACTCAGCAAGGGCTGTTTTTTTCTCCCTGTTTTATTTCACACAGAGAAGTCTTATTGAAAAGTGACTTCACTAGAATATGAAGTCACTTTCCATTACAATATTAGAAAGTAAATACAATAAAGTTAAAATATCTAACACCATGCCTTTTTGTCATTTAGATATTCCTTAACGGTATAATACCCTTTACTTTGTAGACAATTTTTAAAATGATTTATTGGCTAATCTAATACATCACTGGGGATCTTATTAAAGTATTGTATACTTTGACCCATGAAAGAACCTAATACCTTCTGTAACCTGTAAGAAGGCATTATATTTTTTTTAGTTCTTTATCCTAGTGTATAATTATGTATAGGTTTAAGACACAAACCGCATCCGAGACAAACATTAAACGATGATAATCTCAGTTTAAGCTTACAAGTAGAATGTTATCACTTTGTGTGTTGAGTTGAGCAACGGATATTTCTAAGAATGTTTAATTACTTTTGCTGTCCAAGGAACACCTAAACAAAGAGTCCATAATTGACAAAAGTTTTACCATTGCCGTCATATCTATTTATCTATACTAATATCCAAGAGGAAAAAAGAGGAAAGAGGAAAGATTTGATTGTTTTTTATTTCATCATCATCATCATCATCATCATCAGCCCTTTTACGTCCCCACTGCAGGGGCTCAGGCCTTCCTTATGGATGGTTAAGGAGGATGGGCTATGACCATTTTATTTGTTTGAAATGAATAGGTTCCACCACTACTGGAATTATTTTTAAAAAATAATTCACCTACAGGAAGTTTTATCATATGCAGCCAACATAGGCTATAATTTTATCCCGAAAAACAGCAAATAAAAGAGTGAAAATGGAAGTGGAAGTTTGTATAGGGAATTAAAATGATACCATAGTAACTATTGATTACTATTCAATTTTTTATACTAATTACATCTGCGTTATAATCGATATCCAAATAAACAGTTCCCAGGAGACCACGCGGGCCAAGCCGCTGGCGGAAAGCTAGTAAGTATTAGTAGGGATGGGGACATGAAATATCCGTTAATGATGGTGAGTGATAATGATGAGAATTGCAGTAGAAGTATGATCTCTGAGATATCAATGGTGATTTTGCCGTCATTCAGGCTAATGAAAGTTCTAGCAACATTTATGGGGCAAGGTATACACTACTATGACAAAATTCCTACAGAAATTTTAATATGATTTTAATATGACTCTTAAATTTAGGCAACGGTAATTTTAAATTTTAAAATTACCGTTGCCTAAATTTAAGAGTCATATTAAAATTTGTCTACTTAGTAAATACTATTATACTGTTAATGAATATTTAAACGACAAAACCCCTTGGTGTTAAATACGGTTATTTCTGACAAGAGTGTTGTGGTTGGGTGCGGCATCATGCAGTTTATCATTTAACATTACATTTATTTGATATGAATCAATTGAAGAGTGGGTATATATACACACATTTTATATTTTCTAATATTTTGATGGAAAATGACATCGTATTTTCATGAAGTAATTTTTCAATCTTGACGACTCTCTTTGAAATAAAACAGAGAGGAAAAAGCGGCGCTTGCCGAGTTTCTTACCGGTTCTTCTCAGTACAAAGTCTCCCGTCATAGACTTACGAGCCGATGGCGTAGAGTTTCGACTTTCACAAGTGTTTTTTAACAGCCTAGCTTGAATAAATGATTTTGATTTGATTTGTTAATATTTAGTGCAATAAGAAATGAAGTTGTTGCATCATGGGTTTGCTCGTAACTCTCTAGCCATGACTCTAGCCATAGGATACGATACCTCACCGATGTTATGTCGATAATCATCGTTTTTTATCATTCCTTCGCCGTTATTAAAGTACATGTAAAAGTAGTTAAATTAAACGAAATATTGCCATAATATTCTTAGATGTCGTTTCCTATAACTAGAACCATGGCTAGAAAGTTAAGCGGCTGTACCCACGGTATTAACAACTTAATTACTTATTTAGATTTACTATACATAATGTAACAATATAATCCGAAACAAAGAGCTCTTATCATAAACAATTTGTATAACACCCATTGGCATTCTTATCTGCTGAATTCTAAATTATGTGGGTGTAGTTTGACGTTTTAACGGCAAACCGAAACATTCTTCGACGCACCGCAGGTTTCGCAGAACTTTTAGCTTTTAGAAATTTTCAGAAACGTATTTAATATACTTTGAGATAAAATTAGAAGGTATTTAAATCAGTGAAAATATAATGCTTTATATTTACATATAATTATTACATTAATATGCGAAACAAAAAAATTTTTGGACATGTTTAAAAAAATGCCCTGACGGAAGAATATGTAAAAGCACACGCAAAGACGGGCACAGTAAAAGTTTATATGAACTAAAAACGAGAAGAAAATTGAGATAAAAAGTACCCTATATGTTTGTTCGGGCTTATAATTACCCGCTTATTAATTAGAATCAAATAACATTCAGTAGTTTTTTGTATGGAAGAATTACAAAAATACTCGATATTCGCTTATATTTTCACAAGCTTTCGCATTTATAATATTAGTGAGATACTACCATACGTTCGATTTTTTTGTTAAATGGATATCAGTTATCTTAATTATGTTAAAATTTCGACAATCATAAAATACAGGTACTGTATAATACTGTATTATTTATACGAATCGACACTCAAAAAAATGTATAAATCGCTAACTGAAAAGATTTCACAGGTTACGATGGCTGCATTATATATGTATAAAAGTTTTTTATACTTAAATATATGTATTCTAGAAATGGACAGATATTGTGGAATTATAAATAGGAAATAAAAATTCAATTTATAAATCATTACATTACTGTCCCTATAACCCTGTATGCTTCAATCTTTTAATCTACGCAACGGATTTTGATGTGGTTTTTTTTTCATAGATAGGGTGATTCAAAAGGAAGGTTTTTATTTATAATACAAGACCCCGCGGGCGATGCCGCCGGCGCAATTATTAATAAGCGACGGCTTTGTGTTCAACGGTTAATAAATTTAGTTAAAATATAATGAATAAAAAAATATTAAACATAAATCAATTCTAAAATTACACAATGACAGTTACACTTCTAAGTGTTACTTAAATGTACAAATGATATTACGCTGTAAATGCATATCTATCTATAAAGTTAATCTATCTATACTAATTCTGTCACTTACGGGAAGCTTCATCATACGTGAAATAGGCTATAATTTACGTTTGCGAAGTCGAGAGAAAATAGCAAGTACTTACTATTAGAGGAAAGGTTTTTTTGTGTGTTTGCATTAAATAGGCCCCGAAATTTATACATATATTTATACAATTTAAAAAATTGTTTTACCATTTGAATCCTACATTATCCTTGATGAACATAGGCGGTAGAATATTTTTTTTAAATAGCAGGGAATAGCTGGAAACTTCGATAATCAGTAAAAGTAGCGGTAGAATTCTAGTTACCTATCTTCTAAAAATCGTACTAGTTTTTTAATGTTATATTTTTGTGCCGACAGCTTTATTTTTTGTGCTTTAAGCATAGTATTTTTGGAATGTTTGCGACAATTTTCCATAGAGAAATTATAAGAATTCATAACTTTAAGCAACATGTTTCTTTAGCTTGCCGAATGAAATAACTACCTATTAAATGGTGTGCTAATATTAATTTTGTTCTAATTAAATACAGAAAAAAAATAACACTGTCGATTTGCGATTTGAGTTAAGCATTTTTCGCAAAGATGGGCCATGAAATGGGTGTACAATTTTTTTTAATTTCCTGGATTCTCTGATCTTAGCGTCCACTAATTCGTATTTAGGCCATACCATGGCTATTTTATTATTTTTCTTTCCACGGGGAAGACCGCCTATCATCATTTAATTATTTTAAAACTGATGATAAGAGGCAGTGTACGAACCATTCTCGTACGAGTTCAAAAATTTATGTGTGATGAATGTGATGATTAACAGCTTCCACTTACAGTTACAGTAGACAGATTTATTTGTGATTGGGAATATTGTTGAAATATCCTTATCCTCATCCCCAAATTTACTCTCAGGTTGATAAATAAAGAAACTTCACCATAAATAAATAATAAATTGAATTTAAAATAATTGTATTATGGAAATCCGAATCATGGAAGGTACCACGAGCTCCCAGAACCGAATAACACAAAAAAGTTAATTTCATGCATTGGCATAAAACTAACATTCTTTAAATTCAGAATAACAGAAATAACTATGAACCGGCATGCGATCCACTCGACCATACAGGACATAAAACAAACTATAAAAATAAAGAAATACTTTGTCGCTCGTACCCATTTACGATAAGTAAGCAATGTAAATAGTTTGCACTACATGAATAAACTACAAACGCCTGCTTTCACACAAACCTCCTTTTAATAATAAATATTTTTATTTTTAAATGTATATTTTTAAAAACAACAGCACACATGAAAAAAGTTTCGATTCACAAATAACGCACAAACTCAAAACGCAACGGGAGATTTAAAAAAGTTTAGAATTCCAAAATGGCCGCGTGCGCGCGCGTTCTACCGCGTATACCGGCTGACTGGCTGCTTGAACGAGTGCCGTTGTTGGTAAATATACGAGTGCTTTTGGTTGAATGATAGATAACAGCCTTCGCGACATGAAAAATTCAAAACTACGCTCTTAGTGTAATAGAAATAAGGGTTAGGATATCGGACTGTCTGCGATATTTTGATGTGAACGAAGATTACTGTGCATTTTTAACCATAGCTTTATTCGAATCAGCTCGACATGATTTGTTTCTTTCGACTTTCTAGACTGGCGTTTTTTATTTCTTTTATTAACCGACTACAAATAGGAGGTTCTCAATTCAACTGTATGTTTGTTACGCGATTACTTTTATACGCCAATTATGAATCGATTCTAATGTTTTTTAATTCAACAGCTTAATAGCCCATTTAAAATTTTATCAAAATCGAATCAGTAGTTTTCTTTTTATAACAATATAAAATATTTTTAATCAGATATTAGCTAAATATTTTTATGACATGTTTGTATCAGCGAAAAAAGAAAGATACTTTTAAATAAAAATCCGGAAGAAGGAAGTTCTATGTTTAACGGGTATCTATATATTTTATGCAAGTACGTGTTTTCACCGATTTCTTCGTAATTACTATCAAACTAGCTGTTAATATTTAAGTGATACCTATAATATTAATACATAGTACCTTTATAAATATCACAAAAGTATATATATATATATATATATATAAAAATCCCGACGCATAAAGAGTGAAGGTTTAAAAAAGTGAAAAATAATAGATATTTGTCATAAAAGCGGTTTTATTTCAAGAAACATTTAAGTCAGGCAGTTAACCATTTAATAAATTATAGCTCGACTTCAATATTTCTGAAAATTTTACCATGTTTAAGATAAGTATTACTTTATAAAAAAATAAATCAATGGATCGCTCGATATTATTTCAAGACTACATATATTTTCTACATCATTTATAAGAGTGCGCGTACACTAAACATTACCATCCCTTAATTATACAAAGAAATACTGTCCATGACTAAATCCTGTAGACGTCCTGTTAAGCAGTAATTAAAGTAAGAAAACTAAATCATATTATTATATTTGATTAATTTTGATTCTCAGTGCTATACTGGAAAATGTTCTTAATAGAAAATGCTTAAAAAATCTACTGGATTTTTTTAAGTTACTCTAAGATGGAACTCGAACTTGTGACCTTTTTTGATGGAATTCGAGCTGGTGATTTTTTTAAGCATTCACATTAAGAATATTATATCGTATTTCTAAGGGTTTTGTTATAACGTGTAGTCAAAACGTGAATTTATTAAGTCTTCTTGCTAGGAAAAATAAACACAAAGTGTCCTGTTTATTTCATTATTTTTTCGCTTTCTTTTTCTAATTATACTATTTTTTAAATGTGATATTGTAAAAGTTGATTAATCTCTGCATCGCATACGCCAGATTTCGAGGTCGTTATATTATTTATGGATTAATTTAAATATTTCGCTTACTTCAAAATTTCTGAAAAGATATATATTGATAAAAATAAAAAAAAAACTGGCTCAATGAATTCCGACCCCCTTTGCTTGTCTCATTCCTATAGTAACTAAGTAAGCTGGATTGTGGAAAAAACCAAATATGTCGTTAATCGACCGAATAATGTAATAATTATAAGTGGTTAAGATGCTTACGTTTAATTGTTATTTAATCACAGATATTTAACTAGACAACGAGACGAGAGGCGGCTCTCATAATCACAAGCTAATCAGTTTTATAATAAACTATATAATATGAATTTTGATAAACTAAGACATTGTAAAAGTATTTACAATCAATAATCTATATATATAAAAGCGAAAGGTCACAAACTCACTCAATCATCACGAAATCTCAGAAACTACAAGTGCTAGGAGTTTGAAATTTTGCATGCGGGTTCTTTTTAGGACGTAAGTGCTCACTATGAAGGGATTTCACGAAATTCGACCCTTCATTCTCATCATCATCAGCCCTTTTTTGTCCCCACTGCAGGGGCTCAGGCCTTCCTTATGGATGTTCAAGGAGAATGGGCCCATGACTCTCCACGCTGGCCCAATGCGGATTGGAGGGTATTTACGACTGAAAATGCAGCCGGGACCAACAGCTTAACGTGCCTTCCGAAGCACGAAGTAGCTCGAGATAATATTTTTTTGGTCACCCATCCCGTGATCGACCCTTGCGAAAGTTGCTTAACAATAACGATCGCGGGCCGCGGGGCTTATCCTCTACGTCCCCCGATTGCAATAAGAATTTCATCTAGAGAATCTTTAATACGACTTGTTTCTTTTTTATTATATTTTATATTTGATAACGGCAGTCGTGTTTTTTTTTTTTTTTTTTCATTATTAATACAGCTATTATTAATACTTTTTATACCAATATAATAATCTCCTTATTCGCGTTCTCTTGAACGCTATTATATTGTGTAGGTATTACTTAGTATAGATACATTTTAGTCAAGATTTAACTGCAAACTACCATTTGAGAATACGCGAGCAAGTTAGATAACTGTTTGATTTCTTATATTTTCACGCGCACTTTCCATAAATGAAACAACTTTTAAACGATTTCATCGCGTTTTCATTTAGTTTTAATGACATTTCGGACCTCCAAAAAGACAGGGAGCCAATTCTACTAAATAAATTTTGTTTAAATCGAATAGAAAACGGATCGAAACCGAACGAAACTACAGTTTTTAATGGTTTTTCTATTCTGTGACATACGATACAATTCCAGCTAAAATAGAACTGGAATTGGTGTACGGTTTCGATCCGTTTTCTATTCGATTTAAACAAAATTTATTTAGTAGAATTGGCCCTCTGGTCTCGTGTTCACGTATAGATTGTCTTTTTAATTAAAAGTATAGCTACCTTCAAAACCAATACTATTGGACACATTCACAATACCTATATATTTTTTTGTTTTATTTCATTTATTCAATTAAATTTAATTATTCTGAAAATACATTTGACTTATTTATTTTCCCGTAGCTACTGTAATTTACCACCAATTCCAACTTTGGGAGTCTTGTCTGTGATGAACTGGCGAGACAAACTCCGACAAGAAAAGTGAATGGCTCCCTTTAATGTAATATTTACGGAATTACCTAATTGTATTTTTTGGATTTGCAATGTGTGATCTGGATTAAGATATATATGCCAACCTTTATCTCTATTAAAATTCGGATGTTTTCTAATTCTGCAGTGTGTGAAGATGCGTTAGGAGGGCCCAAGCATTACATAAGATTTGACAACCCAGCATACTAGCGGCTAACCAAAAAATCATCCCTACAATTATACGCGAGGCTATTGAAATAAAAAAAAAAACATCCGAATTTCAATCAATTATTCTTATGTGAACACGGAACCTGTAGAATGTCAAAAAAGTCTATTAGGGAAGTTGTGGTAGACCTAAATGTCGCATCTTTTTAATCATCCAGATTGATTTATACTCATTCTTTCTGTTTTCTTTCATATTAGTAAAAAATAATAATAATAGTTTCTTTTTTTTTCTTTATCATATCTCATTGTGTAAACACCTTTAGGATATTAATTTAGTACTACACAGTTGTTACTTATTTTTCATATATATTTTGATTAATGTCTGTTGTGTTACCTAATAAATAAATAAAAATAAAATGTCCGAAACATCAATAAAACTAAATATGAACACGATGAAACAGTTTAAAAGTAATCCAAATAACTGTTTTAGTTGTGAGTCAGTAAATGTCTATTTTTACAATAGAATAACCTACAACAATGCATCCTCATTAGTAATAACTGTATAATTATGAGTTACACAGAAGGAAACTGCTGAAAGTTCATTCGAATGTTAACCTTATTCCGTTGGGGTAATCTTGAAAATAGGTTCTATTAAAAGTGTGATAAAATTACATTATATACTCGCTGAAAAGGTCAGCTATTGGTATTGCTACACATAAAAAAACATTAAACGTGAAACGTTAAAAATAATATAAAGAAGTGAACATACTTTGATTAATTTAAGCTTCTATTGCAAAAATAGAACTCAAAATAAGTAATATAGGAAATGGAAAATTTTGTGAAGTGGCTTATAATTGCTTATTTATACCGTTGGCAGTAATGTACAGAATTATGAATGCATTCGTAGTTTAAAACTATAATAATTTTGATTTAAATAATTTTAAGATTGATGATTAATTATTAAAAAAATATAATTGAAAAACATTATAATAATTTCTGGTCTTCTCCATTTTTATTTAAAACGAAACTATAAAAGACCATTTAAACCATACTTTTTCTTTGAAGTAGGTTCAAAACGTATTTCAACTTATTATGCGACTATATCATTCCAATCTGTTTTATTCAAACGAAAATAACTTACGTACTAAACATACAAATATTTTTTTTCATAACCTTTTTGTTACACTGATTATAAGCGTTGAACTGGAAAAAACTGGATTTAGAATCGACCTCGCACCCGCCCTTGAACTAACACTGTACAGACGCACGGACAAGTGCTTACGTAAATGAAACTAAAAGAGATGAGATGGATGCGAGTGTTCTTGTGTTGGACACTTATTTTTGTTACTGAAAGTCTATAAACTATAAACGCAATTTGTTTATTAAAGCTAAAAATATTAATGAAGGTTCAATTTTAAGATGTAACCATTCTTTTTGATTATCAATAGATGGCGCTATTATTATGTCGTAGATTTTTTCTTTTCTTATATCTGGTTGAAACATGTATTTAACATATTTGCTTTTTTATTTTTTAAATAGGTCTTCATTTATTTTACATTATTAAGAAGCACGTGGTACAGATCTCCAAGAGTGTCTGGTCACAAAGGTATAACTATAATTTGATAAGAAGATTGTAAGATTTGACGAATTTTGAGAATGAAAGAAAGATAGCATCAGATATCAAGAATGTTGTAGTCATTTTTCAAAGTAATCCACTTTTAATAATAATTTGGGAACTAATCGTCTTGAGACCTTCAATTAGAATTTAGATAATAATAATAGGTTTTCCTTATTTACCTTAATCTTACACAAATATTGTATAATAG